AGCTTGGAGCCCTCCCTCTGGACAGCACGCCAAATATGCTACTAACTGCTTAATCACATTATATGTTAGTGTGAACTCGTGAATGTGGAGAGAGACAGTATCAAAATATATAACGAGTCAACATACTTATCTCTGTTTCTGTGATTTTTCTAGCACTGCCTGAATTTTTCAGGGGTATATTCAGTTGTATAATGCCGTTATCACTTCCTGTGCAGTGTGTACTGGGTTATGTGTCACTACATATTCTTTGACACTTTTAAATGCGGTCACGGTAGAGCATTTAACAAGTCTGCAATGCTTCAACTCTGTTACTTTTTTAACCGTATCAATTTTTCATTTCAGTGCAGACCATAAAAGTTTAGATTCTCAGGGAGAAGGCAGTAATAATCTTCAGATTTCGAACAGTATCTCTAAAGCCATCATTTCCTCCAGTCATACTTCATAACTCTATTTAGCGTTACCTTTTTGGCACCTCCACAAACTGGTTGTAAAGAGCTTTTTGAGATTATTTGGCACCTACTGTGGGTGGCCGTTTCTCTAAAGGCTGGATTCAATATATATATTACATTATTGCATCTTTCATTATGTCTAGTCTAAAACGAATTCCTGTAGCCTTTGCCTGTGGTTAATACAGCTAGAGCTGTAATACAGACCTGATGAGACCTGACTCTACTGAAGTCAATATGCAATGGGCCCATGACTGGTCCCTGAGGAACTCCTGAGCATAGTCACATATATTTGCTGCTCTCCTTAAATGTGTACAGACATATCATATTCATTCATTTCATTAGATTGATTTTAGTCTCATTAGGACACTAGAAATATCACAATTTAGCTCTGATATAATTTCAGTTATATCAAATAGCAGCATGTATTTAAATACTGATATTTGTTTAGATTTATGAGTTAATTTCCTTCACATTTCTTATGAATATCAAAATTTTTAATGCAGCTATAAAATGGTGAAAGTAGGCAGTGTAGGTTGGATACGAGTGATTTTTTTTTTTAAGTATATATTTCAAGTAGCATCTGCATCCGTCTCTCCAGACTTGCCTCACACTGTTGGATACAAATGTAATCAAATATAGCTCTGAATCATGGGAGGAGTTCAGGACCGCTTACTTAATTGCCTTTAACCCAATTCATAAACTTCTCGCTGTAGGAGATTTGGTACCATGCAGAAATGATTACAGCATCACCAAAAGTAAGAGGGACTGATATGAAGAGGCAGCGGTATGAAAGGAAAGAGATGCAGATTGGGAGATTTAAGAGAGATTCCTCTACAACTTACTGTCCATATTTTTCATCTGCTCTGTTGTCTGTAGGGCTTGGTGATATTTATTAAATGCATTCAAATTTTATGTAAAAATATTTATGGATAAATATTGATGTTTAGTACTATGCATTGCTAAACTGCTGCACATAAATGAAATGATAAAAACAAATTATAAATCAAAAAAAAAGTTTATTTAGTCAACAGTGTGGAAAATATGCCTTGATTATTTCTTAACTAGATTTTTGCCGTACTTTACTTTTTGGTAATACAGTGCGTTTCTATGATGGTTGAAATGATAGCTCCCCTTATTGAGAACAAAAAAAGAAAAAAAAATCACCTTTTCATGCCAGTTTGGATAAAACGCTTATGCATTAAATGTTGCCAAAAGACTAAAAATATCAACAAAATTATACGTATTCACCGTGTCTGTGAGCTGGATCATACTCATAATTTTTGCCAAGACAAAAAGGAACAAATAACATCACTGAACAATTTAGTTCCAGGTCCATGCACACTTCTTTCATCATATGATGCTGCTAAAAAGAAAATTATTTTGTGTATTTGGTTTAATGAAATGTGTTTATGCGGTTTAAGGTTCTAAAAACACATCATTTTCCACATTCTGTACATTATTGTTTCTCCTCTATGCCCCACCTTTCTGAAACGCGTCGATTTTTACAAATTTGAAAAAGCGAGGTGTGCTGTGATTGGCCAGCTATCCAGTGCGTTGTGATTGGCCGAATACCTCAAGCGTGTAACGGAAATGCTACGCCTCTCACCATACTGTGATGATGCCCTGTCAGGCTGGAGCTATGATTCAAAAACATGAAAACCCATTATAAAGGAGGCATTCCTTGCATCCAGTGGCGACATAATTATGGATTATAATGACTTACACTGTCTTTTTATGCGTTGCGTTGCATCGCGCCGCGTAAACATAAAACCATGTCTGCATTTGTGAACGGAGACATGACAAACAACAAGCACTACTCTACACTGCCCAAAAAACTCGCTTTAAATATATAAAATATAAAAACTCTTTAAATATAAAAAACGTACTTACAGTCTGTGAGTCAGAACAGCCGGCATTGTAATCTACTCTCCCAGGATCAGGAAACGGTCCTCCATAAAATGTGCGGCACACATCTGAATATTTGGGTTGAAGTGTCCTGGAACAGTGTTGTAAATACAACTTAACCACTGATTTCTACTCGTGTCCTCTTTTGGAAGGCCAAACAAAGTAGTTCCGCTTTCACAACGAAACACTGCGTCACAGGACATCTGTTGCGCGTCCTGTGCATCTGGACTACATACTCATCAATAAAAACTCAACTAGCTTTTTCACTCAGCTTAATTCCTCGTTGTTTGTCATGTTTTGTTGTTTTCTCTCACAGCTGTGTCCCTCACTAGCTGTCCTGAAACGGTTGTACCCATGAATGGCTTCAAAGTGGGTGAGAGATTACAGATGAACAGTGTGATGTCCTTCCAGTGTGACCCTGGATATACTCTGCAGGTGAGACTGAACTTGCCAAATGCTGGACAAAACCGTGGTTGTTTTAGGACACCGATGTTACATTAGCCATCAAGTGGCATCCCAACACTGTTCCAAAATAGTTTATTGTACAAAGTACCAAAAATGTCCTTAAAACGCTCTCGGTAGCAAATAATTAACTGCTCAAAACACAATGTGGTCAGAGGAAACCATGATTAGCCTGGATTTGGGAGCGTGTTATGCAACCTGTCCATGTTGGCAGCTGCTTAATTTGTCAAGCTTTTCAACATCGTTTTTCACCAAACTAGCACAGAGTTTAACATTTTATATCAACAACAAAAGATGTTCTCCTGGGAAACCTATTTATTTTTCTCTGTGGACTATTTACAATTATTTACTGGTAGTAATACCAAGGTTATGTGTTCGAAATACCTTTCAGTCAGTTTTTTTTTGATAAAATGGTGGTTGGAGAGATGGGGGGGTAACAGTTTAATGGGTTTGCTGATGCCAGGCTTCCTGTTGCTCTTTTACATTTTCATTACCTGTTGCTGATACTGGGTTGATTACTTACAAATAGCAGTCTATTACTGAATACAAATTGCATGATGAAATTTGTAGTAAGTTACATGATCTGTTACATTACATATTTTAGGTAATATAATCTGACTACTTTTAGATTACTTTTGGATTACTTTTGACCTGAAAAAAGCTGGACTGTGTA